CCAGCACATCTCCCGAGAGGCAGTGCTGGGTGAAATATTTGCTGCCCTGCTCTGTAATACAATAAAAAGCACCTACAGGTCCCCATGAGTGCCCTGTGCAGCTGGTCACCCCATGGGAATGTCGCTGATAAGAGGGCGTAGCTACTCCAACTGCCAAATGACGGTGTCCTCACAACCCAGGATGTGTGCTCATTGCAAAATGTTCTCTCTGCCCCTAGGAAGAAAGGTTAGGACTCATGCTCGCTTTCAAAACAGCTCCAATAAAAGAATAACAAGAGGAAGAAATACTTGGGCTGCTGGGTTCATATCTCAGAAAGACCCAAGCTTTCCCATTGAAAGAGACTTTGTTGCACTGGGAGGAGATGCCAAAGAGTGGCTGTGGTCCTACTTGTGGACCTAAGAAACCAAGCACAAGTGTAAAAACAGTGATGAAAGGAACCTTAATCCTTGCAAAACACTAGGCTCAAGGAGCCTGGGGTCACACCACCTCTCTGCTGAGAGCATCATCCGAGGCCAGGGTGGCTTTTCAAAACAGCCTTTGCTCATCTGAACATAAAGAGCCACCCTGGGTACCACGCACACTGCAAGCCTGGAGTGCAGGCACTCAAACTGCAATTACAAGTTCACAAAAGATGTGGGTGAGCAGAGGTACAAGGTGCTTCACCAGGGCTGGATGCTTCTGTGGTAGCAGCCGGGGAGAGGGAAGCCTGAGGTGGAGCTGGTGAGCAGCACCTTCCCCGGCTCCCCCTTTCCATCCTCACTGCCCAGGGACACAGCTGGGCACTGCCATGATCGGTTAGGAAACCTTTGCTTTTAGAAGGATGGTACTTTCTATCTGCTGACAGGGAGCAGAGAAGAGAACATGCAAGACAGGCCAGCCTCCCTCCTGTCAGAGGAATGAGCACGCTCATAAACCCATCTCCTTGGGAAATGGATCACACCAGTGAAAACAAACACTCAGAGGCAGAGGACTGGCAAAGGGAGGGGGACAAAAGCCCTTCTCTGAGCCAGGGCGTGTGTTTGAGACTCCTGGCAGCAGGAGCCCTGTAATACCAGAAGGGCAAGAGACGCAGGGAGATAGGTCAAAGCTGGCTGTTTGCTCCTAGCCAGCCCTGTCAAAACCCTCCCCTCTACAGCAAAACCATGTCCCTTATAGTAAATAAATACGTAAATAAGCCCTTTGAAAAGCCCAGCGTCTGTGACGTGGGAGAGTTGAAGAGCACGCTGTGTGCCTGCTCACACATCTGCTCCCTCTCCAGGAGCTGGGCTCTCCATTCTACACTATCAATCCCTGGGCTATTTTCAAACATTTGGGTGCATTTGGTAGCTTAAGTCTCTTCTCTCCCTCTCTGCCATATCTCCTGCCTTGGCAGTGTCCTTAGGATGGGGTCCCACCTTAACCTGAACCACAGGGGAGGCCACTCTGCTCCTCAGGCAAGAAGCATGCCACCCCGAAGTCCCACGGCAACGTGATGTGCACTGACGGGCAATGCCGTGCATCAGGAACTGCTGAACAATTCAGGATAGGAAGTGCTTTGGGAATGACCACAGTCCTCAAGAGATGCTTGAGTTGAGCTCCAGTGGGGATTTGCATCCAGACCCCATCCCCTCTGCCAGCTCCCCCTGCACTTCCACAGCTCCCAGCACCAGAGCAAAAAGCAAGATTTATTTCAAGCCCCAGGCTTCCCAGAAAGCAAAAGCTCTCCAGGAATGCTCCCAAGAGGCAAAGGACTGACATAACTCAGCAGCTTTCGATACTCCTCCTGTTTTGGAGAACAAAGCGAAGACAGACCAGACTGCTGTGGAAACTACAGCTGCCCGAATCACAGGCAGGACCTACGGTGAGGGCAGTATTTTGTAACAGAACAAAAGCTGCATTTGTGACACTCATCTTGACTAAGACTTTAAAAACAGTAACAATCTGTTTGGCCAAAATGGCTAAAAGCAGTGAATGTACTGCAAAGCTCCAGTTAGCTGTACACTGGCACCGGGGGATGGATGCCATTCCATCCATGCTCAATCATCCTTTGTGGCAGCGGTGCAAGGTACAAACCAGCAACACAGAAGGTAGCCTGCTCTGCTTGCAGTAAGAATTTGGTATTTTATCACAGTGATTTTCCTCAAAAGCAGTCACCACTGTGTGTTTTATCAGATGTACTTAACCTGTGCCAACTCACTGCTAGCGTAAAATCCTAAGTACTCTAAAGTCAATTTAAGCAGCTACTGTCTCAGCTTCAATGCTTCATTTTTAAACATCTAGCATGTATCTATAAAACAATCTTTTTATTATAAAATATTTTAACAAACCAAAGGATTCCTTTACATGGCTTTTCTTTTTCAACCATGGAACAGGAAAGGTTTGCCAGGTTTGGCTTTGGTGGTGCCAATTTTTTTCCTTCAGTATTTCTCTCTTTTGCATCCAGCTGCTCCCAGAACCACACAGTTCATATTGCACCAGTTTTATTAATGTTTCCTCAGAGGAAAGAAATAAATTCTTCAACACTCAGACTTCATTGCAAGCCTAAGATTTCCTAACACTGTAGCTGAGCATTGGAGTACTGAGGTCACTGCAAACAGCCCAATGTCCCCTGTCCTTGCCACATCCATCTACTCTGGATGCTGTGGTTGTTCTGCAGTCGGCCACTTGCTCATCTCTCAGCTTTGCCTATATACAGCCACAACATCTGAAGTATGAACGCAGCCAGCCAAACAAACAGAGCAAATATTTGGACAACAAAGTCCCGGTCCACAGCATGTGCTATTGAAATGCAAATAATTAATAAAAGTAAAAATACGGGCGGCAACTGAAATGCAGACACTGGATTTCTTTGTGTCAGAGGCTCCTGCCTCAAAACCAGTGGGAGTTTGGCTGCTGAGCCTGCTGGAAGCTGGCTTGGCCCCCAGTCAGGAGCTGGCTGTCACTGTGGGACACTTTCTCCCTCTGTGCCCTTGCTACCTGCTAACCTGTGCTGTCCCTGGGCGTTGCAAAATACAGCAAGTTAGTGGCAAGATTAAAAATGAAGGAGATACAACCCCACAGGAGATACTGATTACTACAATCAAGGGTTAATTTTCGCTTCCCTCTGAATGCTACATAATAATGACAGCCCCCAGCGAGCTACAGTGCATCTAGCCCCAGCATGTGTACCTACACCCACTCCCCAGCACATTGGCCTCTCGCATTTCAATCCTTATGCAGTATGAAGCAAACAGCACCTGACTGCTGGTCCCAGTCCCGTGCTGGGTCTCTCCCTGCTCGGCCAGCCTGTTAATGTTTATGTGAGGAGCAAATGTTTTTGCTGACCTGGGGCCTCACACACCGCACCACATCATCACACCCCTCCTTTGCCCAAGTGTCCCATGCTCAAAGGATGCTGCTGACACCTCCAGCAAGGCAGGGGGTGAGAGCACTTGCAGAAGGAGCCATCATAGCAGGCAGAAGAGGAGGGAAGGGCTCTCAGGCACATTCCCTGCCTCTGCTGTAGTGCTGAGCTGGGAAGGCTGAAAGGGGAGCTGAGCCAGCACCAGGGCTGGAGGAGGAGGGGGCTGTTACAGCTGTTCCTCCTTCCCAGCACCCTTTCCAAGCAGGATCACGACCGTTCTGGGAAAGAAAGAAGGGAGCACTAGGAGTTTCCGGACCCCAGCCCCACAAAAGCCAGGTGGGAATTAACGGTGAGGGGTGTGAGAGCTTGAGGAGTTTGTCGCTACCCTGCACCTTGCAGCAGCCGCAGCAGAGACCAGCAGCAGTTCCCACCCCTCCGCACTCCCCGGGGCTGTCCCTTTCCATACCAGCGCGTGGGACAAGTCCTTCCCAGAGCACCCACGACAGCCAGGGCCACACGGGAACTGCAGAAATCCAGCTCCATTTTCCCTTCCAGCCTCCGACCGCCCCAGCTTCCTCGCAGCGCTGCCCCAAACCAGCTCTGCCGCCTGCAGCGGGGGCGGGTACCAGCCCTAGGGGACTCTGCTCCGGGTCACTCCACTGATCTGCAAAGCCAGCTCTACCAGGGACCCACCGATTCCCAAACTGACCAGGACATGTCCACCCGCAGCAGCGCAAGTGAAACCCCCGAGGCGCAGAGCAGGTGCGTGAAACTGCGGAGGGGGAGGAAGAGCCCGCACACCCACGGTGTCCGAGCATCCCCCCGCGAGACCCCACGGGGCACCTATAAATCCCGTGAGCAACGTTTCCCCCACCTCTCCCGAGTGTTTCTGAAAAGACCCCGCACACGCACACCCTCCCGCCCTCGGGTCCAGCCTTTGCCACAGCAGCCGCGGATGAAGGCAATGATCGGGGAGCTCAATTTCCCACCCCGACTGCTGCTTTCCTTCAGATGGGGACTTTTGAGAGAGTAAGCCCTTGGTAGCAGTGCCACCCCTGTCCCCGTCCCTGTCCCCGCACCTGCCTGCCCGTGTCTGCCACCCCTGACAGCTCCTGCGACCCGGGAACCAAATGCAAAGCCTGAAACGGGGAGGGGGGGGGCACCCTCACCAAATCAACTTCCAGTCTGCCACGGAAAATAAACCTCCTCCCGTCCACCTCCTCGGGCTCCCAGTCATTTGAGACGAAGTTAAACAAACCGGGCAGTTTAAAAGCTTTGGTTGGAGCCTCAACAGAAGAATGGTCCGTGGTTGTAGCAGCTTTTCACCCATTTTCCCAGAACCACATTGCTGAGCCCCACAGTCACAGTCTCCCATTCTGGGCAAACAGTCCATTTATTTCTATCATTATTGTTATTACTATTTCAGCAGAAAGTCCTATAGGACTCGGCAAAACAACAACAAAACAAAAAAAAAGCAAAAAAAAAAAAGCATTCGCTGTTTCCGGGCGTTGTTTAAACTGTCCCACTGACGGCAACAGCCGCGGGT